TGAATGTCGCATAATTATTAAATAATTGTGTGTATACCTCCTGTATGTTTTTCCGGTATCCTTGCAGAAACCGTTTTGTCTGGGATTATAGAAAATGAAGTACACCTTGGATGCTACGCGTTTTCAATTATTTCTGTATGAAATAAAGTTGCGTTTAGAAGCGACTAAATAATCCGCAACAATGATATAAAGATAGTTATAATAATAAGATTATAATATAAACATATTGTTATAATTCATATATATATATATATATAGTTATAATTCCTAATCAGTATAAGACGTTGTTTCGTGTGCAATCCTACTAAAAGCCGCCATAATTGGAAATTTAATCATATTAATAGATACTAGTTTATTATATTATTGGTATTTAGTTATATTAAGTTAATATTTACAGTTATAAATTAAAAGCTATTAATTATTTAATATAAAGCTTGGTGAGACCAGGCGCGTCGCCCAGGGTCAGCCAGTGTGGCGTCAGCAGCGAGTGGTTGTAGACGTGCGTCGCTGCGGCTCGTGCTCCACGAGTTGCGAACTCATACTAAACTTGCTGTGTTAATAGATTACGACCTAAGTGTCCTAAGAGGATGGGTTGATAATAACTGTACAAAAGAATTTCCTCTGCATCGCTTATGACCTGAAACATTCATAGAATAAGTTGTCATTTTTTTTATGAATTTTTAGTGCGCAAGAATTGATAACAAGGAAGAGTAATTTGCTGTGTTAATAGATTACGACCTGAGAGGATGGGTTTGATAATGCCTGTACAAAAGAATTTCCTCTGCATTACTTATGACCTGAAACATTCATAGAAGAAGTGCATGTCGTTGTCATATTTTTGAATGAATTTTTAGTGCGCTGGAATTGATAACATTGAAGAGTAATTTTCCTGTATTGCAAAACTGGTCATGAAAGTTTGTCTGAAAACTTTAATATGAATTATAATATTAAGAATAATGTTCTTTTGCATATTGCATACGGCCTCAATTTTAAGATTGATAAAAATAAAATTTGGCAATTGTCTCTTCGCTAAAACTTTTTAGCCCCAAATTCTACAATTGAAATAGGGTCGTTTTATGCGTTACAATATGTCAGGCATTAAAATCTCGTTATTTTCTAAAACTTGTATTGTATTAAAACAACGCAATACTGGTACAATACAATACAAACATATGCTTTACATATACTGGCATAACACAATAAAATCCTATACTGATACATATACTGGTACAACGCAATGCAAACATATGCTAGTACATATACTGGCACTGTGCATATTCTGGTACAAAACAATGCACATATACTGGTACATATACTGCACAAAAAATAAAAACGTATGCTGCTACATATACTGGTACACTACAATGCAAACATATACTGATTCTTATGCTGGCACAATACAATGCAAGCATATACTGGTACGTATACTGGCACAATACAATACAATGCAAACATATGCTGGTACATATACTGGCACAATACAATACAAAGCAAACAATCCTCTGCGCGGCGATCGACATCGGTTTTCAGAGAAGAGCTCAGAGTCGCAACAGAGAAATTGTTTAAATGTCTATGCTGATGTGAGACTATAACATCGGAATTGAAAATAAGGAGACAAATATTTATTTTGAGATTCAAATTCAAGACAAGTGAACTAGGAACCTGTTCATATTATGCCGGAAATTTACATCGGCCTCAGTGACATCTTTGAAGCTGCGCTGTTAAGGCAGAATAATAAAATTAAATATCATCAAATTAAGATTATTAACTGTTTAATGTGACGTGGACTCCGTAAGTAAAATCTTAAGTCGTAAATGATCTCAATAGAGCATTGCGTCACAAACAGCAGTACGAACGCAAAGGCAAATGTATTGAGTATACTGTTGAACTTTATTGAACAATGAGACAACAATTTGTGGTAAAGTTAGGCGCAAGTTTCCGGGAAGAACAATGATAACAAACTTTGTGTAAAAACCAAACGACATATGGAAATTGAAATAAATTCTGATTGAAAAGAACCCAAAATAAATTTAACCTGAAATTAAATCTGAAAACCTAAAAACGCACATAATGCAATTTAGGCACATAGAACGAAGTTGAACGAAGCCATCTATTTAAATGACGACCGAGTAAACAATAAACATAACAGTTCATGACGACCAATTTCGAACCAAAACATGTCATTGCGTTTATTAAATCTAAAAAGTATATGTACAATAAAGCGTTTTCCATGTAGGTAATAATCTTGAATTAGCGCGTGAAGCTCAACATGCACGCGAGCAGCGACGCTGAATTCCCAGAAATTCAATTATATTTATAAAAAATTCATGAGGGTCCGAAATGTCGAATTAGAAGTTTACGCTTTAAGTCGCTGTCGACTGCCGCGTTAGGGAGCGCAACGATACGGACTGGACGACTTGAAATTGTTCATGAATTAAAAAAAAATTAATAATAATTGTTAGTATATAGTTTTGTCCTTACTTAGTTTTGTCCTTATTTATGGTTCTGTCCTTATTTAGTTTCGTCCATATTTTAGTTTTTTACTTACTTAGTTATGCACATATTTAGTTTTGTCCATATTAGGTTTTATCCTTACTTAGTTTTGTCCAAATTTAGTTTTTTCCCTACCTAATTTTTTCCCTACTTAGTTTTGTTCTTACTTAGATTTGTCCATAATTAGTCGTGTCCATGTTTGCTTTTAATTAGCACGTTCAGGAATTCCTCGCTATAGCATAGTAAGCAGTACTAATTTAAGTGGCTTTACTAGAAACTTAAATAGTAACCATAGAGGTGAATAAAATATTGAACAGCTTTCATCTTGTTTCATAGTATGCAATACGTGGTCGGGGCCCAATTATAATTTTAAATTGTATTATTGTATTATATTACATTATTTATTGGACTATAATTCTATAATAAATATAAAACTATATAATATAAATATAAACTATAAATCTCGAGCTGGATAGTCATGCTGAGCAATATTGTGTGTTCATGCTAAGCTATGCTGAATGGTCGTGCTGAGCAATATTGTATGTTCATGCTAAGCTATGCTGGATGTTAATGCTTGGCAATATTGTGTGTTCATGCTAAGCTAGGCTGGATAGTCATGCTGAGCAATATTGTTGGTTCACGCTAAGCTATGCTGGATGTTCATGCTTAGCAATATTGTATGTTCATGCTAAGCTATGCTGGATGTTAATGCTTGGCAATATTGTGTGTTCATGCTAGGCTATGCTCAATAGTCATGCTGGGTAATATTGTATGTTCATGCTAAGCTAGGCTGGATGGTCATGCTGAGCAATACTGTATGTTATGGCTTAACATGATGCTTTTGCATAAGTTATGTTAACAAGATGCTGTTGCATAAGTTATGTTAACATGATGCTGTTGCACAAGTTATGTTAACATGATGCTGTTGCATAAGTTATGTTAACATGATGCTGCTGCATATGTTATGTTAACATGATGCTGTTGCATAAGTTATGTTAACATTATGCTGTTGCATTAGTTATGTTAACATGATGCTGCTGCATAAGTTATGTTAACATGATGCTGATCTCGCCTTAATTCTCGGTGCTGGACAAGAGATATGAGTGCAGTTCTTTTTGATGCTGACATGTGGTCATGCTAAGATATGCTGGATGTTCATGCTGAGCAATATTGTGTGTTATGGCGTAACATGATGCTGTTGCATAAGTTATGTTAACATGATGCTGTTGCATAAGTTATGTTAACATGATTCTGTTGTATAAGTTATGTTAACATGATGCTGCTGCATAAGTTATGTTAACATGATGCTGCTGCATAAGTAATATGAAATATTCTCAGCAAGCTAATGCTCATTTCATTTCCATACAGTATGAATTTATAAATAAATCTCATTTCGACAAGCACCGTCCAGTTCTCGCGAATTATGCCAAGAGTTAACAACAGTAATTCTTGTTTAGATGAATCTTGTGATAATATTCACTTGCAACGCAATGTGCACAAATCCTAGGCAGTTTGTCTTAACGAAATGTGTCTTAAGGGTCCTTGTTGGAACACACGCAGCCTCGTGAAGGGAGCTTCGCCTACAAACCACTGGTGATGGAACGATATACATGAGGACGGGTACTAGAATTTTGCTTTTAAAATTTATGCGGTGACGGCGGGGGTCTTCATTCATTTAATTTAACATAAAACTTTCAATTAAAACTTTTAATAATAGATTTTCATGATTTTTTTGGAAATTGGTGCCAATTTATCTATGAAGCGCTCGTTTACACCTACAGTGGACCTGCTTGACGCATTCTAAACAGTATTTAGTCGAGCATTAAATGTTGTCTGAGTTGGCCGCAATCACAGACAAAACGTCGAGTATTGGCCTGGATTGCATAATGTAAATAAGATTTATTTCGCAGTTTGTTAGTTTACATTGAATAGATGCAGCCCCAGCCAAAACGTTCATAGTTTACCGACTGTAGGCATCGATTGCCTAATTTTACTGAAATTAATTACGCAAATTTGTCAGCCTGTAATAGAGACAGTTGCAGTCAAAACTTCCACGTATAGTTCACTGCGTGAGCGGCTTTATTTCATTATTTAACTGAGATAAATGGCGCCGGTTTGTACTCGACGCCAGCCTGCGCATTGACTGATCACAGGCCATTACTCGCGATTGCTATGTAACAGATGCTCGAAATTGGACAGGAATGAACAAACAATAGTGGGACATAATTATTAAAATATATTAACGGAATTTAATCACTAGCTCTGGGAAAGAAGAAGAGAAGGGTGCACAGACATATTAATGTCACTCATTCCTACATCGTTTGATCTTTATTTCAAATAAGCTAACGTAATAGAACACCATGGTTCAGTTGTAGAATCTTGATAATGATGGAAATATCAAACATGACTACAGAAAGTATTACTAGAAGTCTATAATTCGGGGCAAAAATGTTTCACAAATAAAAATTAACGACATTTAATTGCAAGTACATTTTATTCCAGCAATTTCAGACACAAAATATGAGTTAAATTAATATGCTTGCCAAGAAATCTATTCCTGAGAAGCATACCAGGTGTCGCTCTGTCAAATATATTGTAAATAATTGTTGTTGTGAAGATCATGTTGTGAATATTTGAAAATTTCAAAGTTGTGAAGATGAATGTAGCCTGAGTAGACTGGGCAGTTCTGAAGATAAGTGTACCCAGGGTGGACAGGACAGTTCTGAAGATAACTGTACCCAAGGTGGACTGGACAGTTCTGAAGATAGTTTTACCCAAGTGAACTGAGCCCTTTTGAAGAAAAGTTTACCCTGAGTGGACAGGGCGCTGAAGTAAAGATAAAGTGCACCTAAGGTGGACTGGGTCTATTTGAAGTGTACCTAGAGTGGACTGAGGAGTTGTAAAGAAAACTGTGCCCAGAGTGGACTGAGAGCCACCTTGAGTGTTATTTGCAGCCTGAGCAAAAGTCGCCATCTAACCTAGTCCACAATGATCCTGCGTCTGCTGCAGTTCTTCGTCACGTGCGAGTCTATCTTCTACATTTCAGGTGTGTATATATTTTTTTTAATATGTATGTGTGTATATTATGCACGTATGTGTATTATGCACGTATGTATGTGTGTATATTATGCACTGAATTCCATACCAATTCATTGGCAGATGGGGAAAGTAATAGGCGGAATAAGCAAATTTTTCATCTAACGAGAGACATTGTGTCACAGCGATGATATGTTGCTGAAGTTTATAGAAAATATATTAACAATAATTGCGTATTGTGTCCACAATATTTTCGAATTATACAGGATTTACATAAATAAATATAAGTCTTGGTTATGATCTGAATATGAATATGATCTGAATACTAGCAATAAATATGATGTGAATACTAGCAATAATACATCGAAGTTCACTTCGATTCCCTATGGAAATGCGCACCACTTAGGCATCGCTTTTGATATAGACATTCGCGCTTGAAACTTATTTAAGATGTGGCTAGAAATAAGGTTGATCAATTGATCTATACCGTCACATAGAATCTGCAGTAAAATGCACTGATGGCCGATGGAGGCTAGTTGGTAAAATATGCACTCCTGACAACAAATTTAAGAAAGGATGTTTGAAGAGATATATTGTGAGTCAAGTGAAATTGTCTCCAAAATTACGCAGAGATAAAATAGAAATCCTTGTCGGATGTCATGAAGGCAACAGAATAATCCCAATATATATTCCTTAGTTCTTAAGATATTCATATTTTTCATAATTATATGGACTACGAGGAACTGCAAAAAAAAACGGATTTCTTAAAGCGAATGTCGTGCTGATATGGCTGGCTTCCAATAGTTTAGATATTACCCTTTTTATGATAATAATAATCTGTGCTTTGTGATACTTCATAACTAGATGCTCTATATTCTATTGAATGCGAGTCATATAATGCATTTAATTTAATTTAAAATAACTCAAAATTTAGGAGGGTCGATCCTCGGAGCTTCAATACATGAAATATATAAATAGTTATAAATTTTAATCTACGTAACACGTGAAGCTTGAAGTTGCCTGGACCATACACTGAACCATGCGTGACCAGAACGAATAAAAGAATACAGTTTGTCATTAGTTTCACGGCGCAATTCTGCATTTAATTTATTGCCAAGTTCGAGGTCATCATGAAATTCTGTCTTTTATTAGGAGTAGCTCATGCATCCATAATGTTGAAGACATCAATTTGCACTTAAGCTTACTTGTGTCTTCCAATGAACGCACGCGAAGACTTATTCCTTGTCGCCCTTCAAAAGAAACTGCGAACAGTCTTTGAATTTATTTATTGCAATTTCCTCAGTGAACTATTGATAAAGAATTCATTTTGGAATATTAGTAGAATATTGACCACCTCAGAGCAGAATGATAGGTTATCGTCTCTAAATCAGTAAGAATTACAAATATAAAAGGAGAATAACATAGTTCATTTATAGGGGCGAGTTCGCTCTCTGAACCACAACTGAACCACGATTTCTCGATGTTGCCGAAGGATTAAATTCACCAGGATTCGAGCAGCGAGTAGGGGGTTCGAAATCAGCAACAACTAGTAAAAACTTTGCTTAAATTGGCGAAGTGGTCAAGTTTTGGAAATGAGTGCCAGGCCAACATGGCCTAATCAAAGTTGACAGCACTATAAAAAAATTCCAAAGGAAAGAACTAGCAATGTAAGTAATTTTGGTTGCGTTGTGTTGGTAGGTGCGTTAGCGACGTCTTGTCGACAGCAAACCCAATAATTATTCGCTGCTATCAATCAAGATAGGAAGGTTGAAATTCAATATTATTGAAGTAAATTTTGCTGTTTCCTGAAGCATTACCGTCACATTATGCCTAGATATACAATTGACATTTAATTATTAGAGTTAGAAGAAGAATGTTAAAGAATACTAATGTCTAAAGCCGCCACACGCTGCCACATCCACTATGATATCAAAAGCCTAAACGGCCGCCACATTCCGCCACATCCACAACATGATATCAAAAGCCTCAGTGGCAGCAACATTCCGCCACATTCCGCCACATCCACAACATGATATCAAAAGCCTCAACGGCCGCCACATTCCGCCACATCCACAACATGATATCAAAAGCCTCAACGGCCGCCAAATTCCTCCACATTCCGCCACATTCCTCCACATTCCGCCACGTTCCGCCACATCCACAACATGACATCAAAAGCTTCATCTACACACAAAAAAATATCGTGACTGACAGCGTCGGTAAAGCGAGTTTCGGTGTAGAATATTCAAGCGCTGCATTAAGTATTCAGGCGAAACTATGGCGAGTTGTCAAGAAATCGTTTACCAACTTCACTCTATGAATAAAATAATATCCTGTGTTTGATGCGCACAATAATTCCCATGAAGTCCTGAGCGTAAGCTTTTCTGAGTGGTTGCCGCAGTGTATTCTCTTTTAGTGGAATTTGTATTCAAATTTAATTAGAAACTAGGGCGATATCTTTCAGAGAAACTTGCACGCATTTACCAGGAGTAAAGCTTTTATAGTGAACATTTTGCTAGTGCAATGAATGCTCAACTACGCATGGGTTAAATTTGAAAATTTTAGGACGACATGTTATTTTCATGAGGAAAAAATTACAAAATCTTTCACCATAAAGAATATTTTCAGCACTACGAAACTAAATTGAAGAATTATGCATAACAGCTCGTGTAACTGCACATCAATACAAGGCATGATGTCCATTTTAAACTGAAGATAGAAAACTAATATTCGATGAATTTTTTCAAACTTAACACATCCTTTAAACATTAAATTAAATTTCATAATAGAGATCAGAAGTTACCTTTGCTTCCTTACAAGGACAAATAAAAGTTGCAAACTAGAATTCCTAAACTTGCACTGTATTAGCACTGACTTTCCACACATCATATATACAAGGATATTCAACCAATCTACCTTGCTGATTTTCAGCACCACAAACGCGATAGCCATCACAAAAACGGCGCAGCTATTCCTTTTCTTTGTTATTGATGGCATAACGGACTCGGTCTGATGGATCCGCGCGCAATCAATCACCTTCCAAACAAACGTAAAAATGGACGCCAGTCTGATACTGAACCAACACGCCGCTGCCGTCCAATATTGGAGCTCCACAGCGCATGCAAACCTACGCGCCTGTGACGTGAGCCTGCGTGCCAGTGACGTGAGCCTGCGTGCCTGTGACGTGAGCCTGCGTGCCAGTGACGAGAGCCTGCGTGCCCGTGACGCGAGCCTGCGCGCCCGTGACGTGAGCCTGCGTGCCGGTGACGTGAGCCTGCGTGCCCGTGACGTGAGCCTGCGTGCCCGTGACGTGAGCCTGCGTGCCCGTGACGTGAGCCTGCGTGCCGGTGACACAAGCCTGCGTGCCTGTGACGGGAGCCTGCGTGCCGGTGACGTGAGCCTGCGTGCTAAACGCAATGCTTTCAGTTCTATTTTGCAAAATCACTGCTCATTGACAGGGACATAATAATTTGTTTAAAGTTAAGAGGTAAGTAAGACGGATTATTGCAGTATGTTATGGATTTCGTATGAATTAGGTTTGGGTTGTGTATCATCATTCTTTCGGTATATGTGTATCAACAATAATAGATCATTACCCGTAGATGCTATGTTCTGGTACCAAATCAATACAGGATTTGTTGAAAGCTGTAATGTTTGCTGTAGCAAACCCTTTGATTTATTCGAGATATTCGCACTATATATGGCTGTGCGAATATAGTCGCTCTTAAACAGTACTATGAAAGTGTCAGCCAAAGGCACTCATTATTTGTTATGAATTTGTATTTCCGAATTTTTAAATGAATTGCTTATTGTAAGGCAATTAAGCAATTGTTTATTGTAAAACAATAATCAATTTAATGAACATATCAGGGTTTTGTTGAGTATTAATCGGGGTCTGGAGAAGATTATACAAAGAACGTCCCGTGGTTGCATGGACAGAATTTACGTGTGAAGTAATTAATTTAACGTGTTAATAAAAGCTTTAATTACAATACGAATCCTTTTGAAATTTTACTGTCTCTAGCAAACAAACTCAAGCTATAATATAGTATCAACACCATAGACTATATTTGGGCTGCGATCGAAGTATAATATAAAAAACATTCAATCGTGAAGTGAATACTGTATTGGATACCACAAAATGGATGTGAAAAATTTCCAATAACTACTAGTTTTGGGTATTAGGCTTTTCATTCAATAAGGTGATCATAAATCATCTTTTTGCGAATGAGAACGATACAGTTCGGCTCGATGAACATAAAAGTAAGTCCAGGTGAAAAATAGCTCCCATCAAGTCACCATTTCCAGCCTCATCATCGTGCGCACCATCAATAAAATCGATGAACTTGCAACGGCTAAGGTTACTTCAACCTCACGACACTTGCATCGAGTGACGTAAAAGATGTTGCGCCGATGATAGAATTGCGCGACATGGACGTTTGATGAGTAATTGATGTTGCGCCGATGATAGAATTGCGCGATATGGATGTTTGATGAGTAATTGATGTTGCGCCGATGATAGAATTGCGCGATATGGACGTTTGATGAGTAATTGATGTTGCGCCGATGATAGAATTGCGCGACATGGATGTTTGATGAGTAATTGATGTTGCGCCGATGATAGAATTGCAATTGCACGGCATGGATGTTTGATGAGTAATTGATGTTGCGCCGATGATAGAATTGCGCTACATGGACGTTTGATGAGTAATTGATGTTGCGCCGATGATAGAACTACGCAGCTCGGATATTTGGTGCCGTAAATGATGTTGCAGTGCTGCCAGATTTGCTTGTGATCGATGTTGTGTAATCAATATACGTTTGCTCGCATTTATTGTTACCACTAAACATCTCATATATATCCCATACACGAGTATGGGATATATATTTTATTAAATTGAACTACATAGCGTTGCAGTTTAAGCTAATCGATGCTAAACATCGTTTTATTATTCATGTATTTGCGCGAAATTGATCGAAAGGCAGCGCAGAGGGCTCTGCTGCGATACCACCCCATACGCCACACGCACGTATTTAAAGGGTGAACTCAGTGTCGTGCGAAATACGAGAAATCTTTATTTACAAAGCTACGAACATGATTTATTTCCTACTGCAAATTATTGCATAGAGTACCAGAAATTTATCATTCGCGTATAATGAGGTTTGATTGATGTCTAATAATCTAATAAGACATCAATAATAATAATCAATAATCTAATACACATCTGTCTAATAAGACTTGACAGATGTCTAATAATCACTCTATTTAGGTAATTATTTTTCATCATAAAATGTGTATTTTCATTTAAACGTAGCAATTGTTTACTCAAATCTAGTCCTAACTAAAAAATGATATAGATGAACATCAAAGTAGCGCTGCTCGTATTGAACGACAATATAGAGTAGCGTTATCGAAATCGTACGAAAATATCAAGCAACGTCGTTAAAATCAAATGAAATTTTTTTGTTAGCCCCAAAACCGAAACGGCTGAAGCTGGAGTTAAGATGGGCTTGTAAATTTCAAAACTCCGTGGACATTGCATTTTTGTTAAAAATGTTTAAACTCAGTCATCTATGATGCAGCGAAAAATGAAAATTTTCCAGCGCCACAAAACAGCACGAAGACCTATGCTTTTGTCTAATTTGCAGAGGCAGACTAACCTATTGATCACGCCAGTCGAGCATTCTATCGAAAGCGTTCTCATGCCGACACTTAAGTATCGGTGCTTGAGGGCTATTCACTAAATCATGCCTCTCAGCTTTTCATTGTTGTTCACATGCAAGGCTTAATATTTCAATGGACAAAGCCATTCTAGGCTGCTAAAGGCCTAATCAATTACCATCGTCCTTCGAATTCTGATCACTAAATACCTTCCCTGTTAAATCGCGCGAATTCGTTTCCGTGTTTACTGACTTATTTCTTTTCGTGTTTAGTCTTAGCCAATGTTAAAGGAGGGCGCAGTGGAGGGCCATAAATTTAACTCTTAATTTACCAGGGAGCCACCGCCCAGTCTCAACATGCAATAGCTGATATACTCAGCCTTGGAGCTCAGAAGGTACGGATCAAACTGGATTGCTGTAAGATGGAATTCTTTGCGGTTCGTCACACGTTAGTTAGAGCAACAATATACAGCGCGGCTTATCAACACAGACAGTATAGGCAACAAACAACTTGGCAATTGTCTTGGGGAACTGACGCCCATGCAGTGATGACAGGAAGAAGCTCTACACAAAAACTCAAGTTATATTTTAACTAAGAAGATTTAGTCAGAGAGGGGATGTTAGACCAATAGCTTGTAGATAATGCCTTCTCAAGTGGACACCAGAAGTAATTTTAATGTGCATTCTCTCCGTTGGCAGGAAGTCTACACGCCAGCAAGTCTCTACCTCAGGGACGACCAAGTCTGAACTGGGACAAGTACCTCTTACAACCAACTTTCGACGAGTCCAACCGAGTGAAGGTGGTGGCGGCCGCTGGTGGCACAGCATTTCTCCATTGCAAGATCAACCACCTGGCTGACAGAGCTGTGAGTTAATCAGCAACTGGTTTCACCACATGATACATTTGTATACACGAGTTTCGGCACTTATGAGTGTAATATTTAGGAATTAAAGTCGCGTATTTAGTTGCCATAATTAGTTCGTAACTTTTATACCGCATGCGGCCAGGAAAAAAAAGTCAGGCGTACAGGCTCTCACATTGATGCCGGACTTAAAGAATTTTAAATTTTATATTTATAACTTTGCACCCGCAGGTGACATGGATAAGGAAGTCAGACGTGCAGGTTCTCACGGTGAACTCTTACACGTACACGAGTGACCAGCGGTTCTCAGCGCACTCAAGCGACGATGCAGACGAGTGGGTGCTTAAGATCACTTCGGCGCAGATAGATGACTCGGGAGGCTATGAATGTCAAGTGTCCACCGAAACCAAAATGTCACTCACTTATGAACTCAAAGTTGTGGGTAAGTGAGCTGAAAAAGTGTGCGATATTTCATAAATTTTGCTCACGTGTCTTTGAAATTTGCGCCAAATAGTTCAGATTAATTTCGATTTCGAAGTCTACCCTGCCGCCCTAAAATATTTTGGCCTCAACGACCACAATAAATAATCCATATGCCTTCTAACAACCAACAACAACTTGATAACTGGGTAACCATTGACGTGGAATATATGCAGCAACTACTGAAGTTATAATAAATGTTAGCGAATGTCTGTGTTTAATGCAGTGGCCCAAGCGGAGATTTTAGGCATATTTGAGTTGGAAATACATATGTTAGCAAATGTCTGTGTTTAATGCAGTTACTCAAGCGGAGATATTAGGTATATTTAAGTTGTAAATACATGTTAGCAAATGTCTGTGTTTAATGCAGTTACTCAAGCGGAGATATCAGGTATATTTAAGTTGTAAATACATGTTAACAAATGCCTGTGTTTAATGCAGTTGCTCAAGCGGAGATATTAGATAATATAAATTATAAATACATGTCAACAAATGTCTGTGTTTAATGCAGTGGCTCAAGCGGAGATATTAAGTATATTTAAGTTGTAAATAAGTGTTAACAAATGTCTGTGTTTAATGCAGTGGCTCAAGCGGAGATATTAGGTATATTTTAGTTGTAAATAAGTGTTAACAAATGTCTGTGTTTAATGCAGTGGCTCAAGCGGAGATATTAGGTATATTTAAGTTATAAATTCATGTTAACAAATATCTGTGTTTAATACAGTTGCTCAAGCGGAGATATCAGGTACACGAGAGGTGTACATGAACAGCGGTGGTGACCTGGACCTGCGCTGCACTGTACCACAGATCACGGACCCGCCTGAATTCATCCTCTGGTACCACCAACGCACCATCATCAACTACTCAGACCGCAGCGGCGTCAGGGTAAGTGCATGGTAGCGAAATGTTGCGTGATTATGGTGCATTATTGCAATGATACGTATCGTGTCATACGCTATAATAATCAATGATTATGGTGCATTCTTACAATGATACGTATCGTATCATACGCTATAATAATCAATGATTATAGTGCATTCTTACAATGATACGTATCGTGTCATACGCTATAATAATCAATGTTTTTATTGCATTCTTACAATGATACGTATCGTGTCATACGCAATAATAATCAATGATTATGGTGCATTCTTACAATGATACGTATCGTGTCATACGCTATAATTATAAATTGAGCGTATTAGCATGAGCCATAATAGTCAACATGGCGTGTGATCATGCGCTACAATTATGAACATGGCGTATTATCATGCATCATAATCACATCCATGGCGTATTATCATGCACCGTAACGTATCTTGCCTGTTAGATTAGGAGACCGATTATAATTATCGATCATAAAATTGAACCATGTAAGATTCTATGAATAATCTACACTAAACAAGATACGTACAATGCATAGCGTAAACTCAGCACAACAAAATGCGTTCATGTCTACTGTGTAATCTAAACACTACAGCATACTGTAATGCATACGAGTTATCTGAAATCAACATTTTTAATTTCGGAAAACTTATAATTCGTTTTGGAACGTCACTAATAAGTTCGTGAGCAATCCGGCTTAGGAACAGTTTTAACTCCTTTGAGAACACTTCTAATCCGATACGGAAAACTTTTCATTCGTTTGGCGGTTCCTTCATTTCCATTACGAACACTTATAATTAGTAGTGAAACACTTCAAATCCTATAAAGAACACTACTAATTGGCTAAAAAAAACTTGACATTAGTTTGAGAACACTTATTAGTTCCGGAACACTGCTAATTGGTTGCGGAACACTCGTACAGGTGACGATGAACAGCGCGCGTAAGACGTCGCGTCTGTTCATCAAGAGCGCCAGGGCCGCGGACTCCGGCAACTACACGTGCAATATAAGAAAAGACAAAAAAATTATCTGTGTTGAAATGTTGGTGATGTGTCTGATTTCCTTTGTCACCTTTAAATGCAATGATGAAAAGATCATCATTGCCATTACGTTGATAGTAAAACATTTAAAGTTCCTTATTCTTTATAGATAAATGAAGAAATATTGTGAGTAGCATGTTTGCGATGCAATATCTAAATTCTAGATTTAGCCTTCTGGAAATTTTAATTTTTCTGATCGATAATAACTTGAAAATTTTAGCTTCAAAATAAATTATTGTTTGATAAGAAATATATTATATTATTTGGTAAATATCGTTTTATTAATGAAACATGAGACTGAATAAATGGGAAGGCCACTCACTAGCTTAAGGAAATTAAAACGATTAGAAATTTTGCTTTATTGTTATAATTTCATTATTCAATGATCGGTAATTGCTATAATTTAGTTAGGTTGCGCCTGTAGCGTCTTAGGCTTTACTCGGAGCATTCTCGTATATAATTTCTCGTATGAAATTAGTTACGGCAAAAAATCGTACAGAGAGAAGCTTGCCATTGAACACTGGTATGTTTAATATTTAATTGGGGAATTCAAGTTTACATCTTACCCCAACAAAAATCTCTAGTACCGGAAAATAGGGTTATCCGAACACAATCAAATATGAAAATCTATCAGTTTACTTCACTCAAATATCCTACTTTTACCAGAAATGTTGACCCGTTGCGGTTCCTTTAATTGAGTAGTACGCCCGTTGTAAACGACCGTAGTACATCACGCGCAGGTTTGCGGCCGTATTCTCAGCAGCCGTACCGCAGCCGTAGCTTCGCGTCCCCGCAGACACCCTTCAGTACCTCAGACGTCATGACCGTGATCTCCGCGCTTAGATCGATGTCTCACGGCCGGTCTAACCGTAGAATTTATATCGACCGTACTTCTGCATATTGCCGTCGTCGATGATGCAAGGAACGCCGCGACAGTTTCGAGTGCCACAATTAAGGGTCAGCCCTTTGATACCCTCGGCCATTCCGAACTATAATGTTGTCAATGTTTTAAGCGAAAAATTATTGATGCAGCAGCCTTTGGGAGGTAAATTATAAATTATAATTGTGGCGTAAATATCCAGTTATAACTGTACCGCAACTATCCAGTTATAACTGTAGCGCAATTATCCAGTAACAACTGTAGCGCAATTATAATTATAATTGCAGTGTATGGAAGCGAAGCCCCAAGCTCACCTCGACGGTCTCTTATTATCAGGCATTTAGGAAGAGAGCAGCGCGATTGTCTCTTATTAACAGGCAGTTAGGAAGAGAGCAGTGCGATGGGCTCTTATTATCAGGCAGTTAGGAAGAGAGCAGCGCGATTGTCTCTTATTATACCAGGCAGTTAGGAAGAGGGTAGCGCGATTGTCTCTTATTAACAGGCAGTTAGGAAGAGGGCAGTGCGGTTGTCTCTTATTAACAGGCAGTTAGGAAGAGAGCAGTGCGATTGTCTCTTATTAACAGGCAGTTAGGAAGAGAGCAGCGAGATTGTCTCTTATTGACAGGCATTTAGGAAGAGAGCAGTGCGATTGTCTCTTATTAACAGGCAGTTAGGAAGAGAGCAGCGAGATTGTCTCTTATTGACAGGCATTTAGGAATAGTGCAGTGCGATTTTGCGCTGATGGCATTGATTTATTTCAACTGACGGTTTACCTGGGTACTGATGCCGCGGTCACGCTTAATTGACTGCTATTGACCCTGAGTGCCCTGACCTTCATTTATTTCAGATTAATTATAATGTGGCGATTTTGCCTTGCTGATGCTTGTTGGGAACTTACTCAGAATTACATTTATTAATAAATAAATAGAATATTTCGATGTGGTTTACAGAGGAGCGGCCTGCAGCGATGCAGCACGAGGACGCAGGCTGTCTCCCCTCGTGCGGCCTACACGTGGTGGTGACATCAGCATTGCTGGTGGTGGTTGCCCAGTACCTACTTACCTCAACGCATATCCCGTTACTCATAACAAACCTCAGCAAGAGAAGAAATAAGAACATCTTACAGCAGCTCAAACCTGCATCGTACAGCAAAAAAAATAAGCTGGCATGTGATGACAGCAATAAAGGATTTGGTATCACCGACGAATTAAGATTGTTTCAGTCGCCACAGTTTATACCAGATGTCCGGTCTACGGCTTGACCGGTACATTGAGTTTCAAAAACTCACGAATAATGAATAATGATGTATGGATAATTGTACATATATATTAAGGTAAATGTATTATTGAATAGAGTACACGTATTTCAACCGTAAGCGTGTATTCATGCATGGTTCAACCCACAATATTTATTGTACAGATATGAATGTATTCACGTATTTCCTGCCTATATGTTATGATTCAAACCTTGATGCCTGTGAAATTTATTCCTTAATCGTTGATTTTCTCAAGGAAAAATCGAGAGTTTTTATACCTTCAATTTTGTACATAACAATAATCTGTAAAATATGGGTGGGACTTTAGATTTAAGCGACCTATAAATTGCTGAAATAATTTACATTAGCTGCAGGGCGCCATTTCACAAATCAGGATAAGGACATAGAAAAGGCAAATCTTTAATCTAATTATATTATAAAAAAATCTCATTTTTCAAACATTTCAAAACCTCAAACCTGAACCTCCACTTCAGACAGCAAAGCTCAGACACTAGTGAGTACAATTTATTTTATCATTATAAGATATAAATTAAATTGTTATTATTACAAGTTTTTACTGCTTTCTATTATATAGAAATGGATTCTATCATGAACATCCATCTGTATGATTATGTATCGATAAAATTCCATCCCAAGCCGACAAATTTACAGGTACTGTTACGGGGCCAGTATACCAACTGGGCGCAACGTGAGACTATCTTATCCGCAACAACCCAGCCACGGTTCGTCGTACTTCTTGCGACTCAACGTCAATAGGGGAATAAAGACGACAGCACATTACACTTTCCTTCGACAATGCAAGGCACAACAGTGAATGAGAGTGTTAGTCATGTCTCGACTCCGGAGGTCTCTCTGCATGAGAGATTAAACTAATTAGCGACAGTTTCTTCAAATACTTAATTACTAAACACACACAATAAAACTTTATAAGATTTCTTATCACCTGCAATCCCTAGACCAGTGCAAACTATTTTTACTTGGATATGAAATAATTTACATTAGCTGCAGGGCGCCATTTCACAAATCAGGATAAGGACATAGGAAAGGCATATTCTTTAATCTAATTATATTATAAAAAATCTCCTTTACAAACATTTCAAAACCTCATACCTGAGCCTCCATTTCAGACAGCAAGGCTCAGACACTATGAGTACACTTTATTTTATCATTATGAGATATGAATTAAATTGTTATTATTTCAAGTTTTTATTACTTTCTATTAGATAGAAATGGATTCTATCATGAATATCCATCTGTATGATTATATATCGTTAAAATTCCCCCCCTCCAAGCCGACAGATGTACAGGTACAATAATTTATCGACGCCTCTATGAAGTAATCGAAGTTTTCGGAACAAATAATTGATATTTTTATTGTTTTACCGAACACATAGGTGAGCTGCTACCATCGCCATCCACCAGTTGTTGCCACTAGGCTGTCCTCACCCTCAATATTACCACTAGTTTACCACTAGTCCACAACATTGCTAGTTCATACCTGCGTTCCCAGCTACTTATGCGTACGTGTATAGAAATATTTTCTTAAATAAAGTATAGGACAGAGAGGTTGTTTGCTTACCCTTGAAAGTTCTCCTTTTCAGTGAGTTTTGAGGGGTTGAAAGTTCACAGCTTAAATGATAGGAAAATGCACAGGAAAGAGCGCATGTGAATTGAGCGGTTAATGAAATGCTATGAGATAACTTTACTATTAAATCAATAAAAATTTATCAATTTGCAAAGTGAAATAATATAACTTTAAATCAAGAAAAGAATACTAATATGCAAATGTGTTATGATGAAATTACTTATAACGATAATTAATATCAGGTAAGAGTAGTCGGTAAATAGAGGCGTATAAAATTTCGGAAGCAAAAAATTTCTATCACAATACATAAATGATTTCTGGCAACTGTAAATCAGCTTTCAAACAAGATGATATTTCTTCTTTAGAATACTAATGAATTTGCATAAGATCCACATTTATCACTCAATCCATTAATCAAATATTACTCGGAGTATAGGAAGAGAACAAATGAAATAACATCAATTTATTTTAATTACCGTAATTGACTTCAGGTGTAAATTAATACGTTTCGTTCGTGGAGTGGAAAACATGCAGAACATTACAGTTGGTGGAGTCAGCCCCGCTCGCGTAGCCAGCCTTTGATGTAGCGTCTTCAAAGGCAGCGCAGCAGCGATACGCGAGCAGAGGTAAAAACAACTACACTCGGAGAAATTGGTGAGGCTTTGTCCAAATAGTGAGGCACTTTTCTGTATGTATACTCAGAAGATAGGGTGACACTTGGTCTAAATTGCAGTCACTTGTTGCTGTCACTGTTTCAGTGCTGTCACTGTTTCAGTGCTGTCACTTTCAGTTGTCACTGACAGAACGTTTCAGTGCTACGTCCTCTTTCTGCTTGTGCCTTAGTTAAGAAATTGTGTCAAGATTTGGACAATGCGGACTATTTATTCCTGAGTGTAGGCTCAGAGGCTCCGACAATATAGATAGTAATCAAGGTTGTCAAACAAATGCGGAGAATTAGTCATTGATTCATAGCGTCGTGCTGTCTCAGTCGTGTTCTTTGCCTCACTGCGATGAAAATACTGTGATTCTTGGCAAGTGATATAATCCTGCAAGAAAAACTTGTCGTGAAATCTAAATTAGATGAAATTATAACAAAGTCTGTCAAATTGTTTGGTCAAACGAAACCTGGAACTACGAAATCTCGAATATGTCCCCCATGTGCTGAAGTGCAGAAAAATGAGCGGATGAAAGTTTGAACTTTACTTCACGTTTGAAATTTGTATCTCTTGGGTGTAGAAAATGGAGCTGGGCACTGAGAAAGTTT